TGTGTGTGTGTGTGTGTGTGTGTGTGTGTGTGTGTGTTTGTGTGGGTATGTAGGTGTGAGTAGGTGTGTGTATGTATGTGGGTGAAATTTAAAAAAATAAGTGATGGGCTGGGATTCGTTTCTTTCTTTGTCTTTTTACTGCTGATGAATATAGTTGAAGAAACATAATATTTTTGCGTAAAGCTCAATGAACACCCACCCTGTGACCCAAGACTATCTTGGAGCTATTTGTTAAATTATATTGAATATAACCCTTTAACTTAGATAAAAACTGTAACGTAGGCATTGACTCTGAAACGATCGAACCAGAATGGAAATATTGTAATTCTTAATTCGTTCAAACATAATAGTGGCACATTACCAGTTAAACATACCCTTTTGCCCTTTTCTTTCTCGTGGTAAATTTTGATCCCAAACTGTATCAGATCCTGAATCAGACCAAGAACTTGATCAACAGCCAGGCCTTCTAGATTGTTCTTCCCGTGCAAACCTGTTATAACATAAATAAGATAACAGTTAAAGCCGTTGGTGTCTTTGATGAAATACCTATAATCCGTGGCAAACCGGAAGATGTGTTGTCAAAACAATGAACTTGTTACAGTCATGGTGACATTGAAACAGACTCTGCAATTGCATAGTAAAGTTTCCACCTTAACAGGACTATTTTGTTGTTATCTTATGAAGTTTTTGGGATTGTGACTTGGGTTAAAAAGAAGAATATTTTGTTCACCGTTATCGAATTTTGCGTATTTTCCCTCCGTTTTCATTTAAAAAGAAATTATTGGGGTTTTTGGGGTTTTTTTGGGGGGGAGGGGGGGGTGGTAGTTTTGTTTCGAAATATTTTTGTTGTGGGTATTGGAAGACGCCGTTGGTAGGTCCTACTTCTTTTTTTCCCCTGTGTTGTTTCTGACAGTTCGTCTTGCTTTTTCTCAGCCCTAAATGATCATTATTAGGTCAATGTGTTTCTCTTTACGCAAACAAACAGACATTCAAACAATATTTTTGTTTGCAATGGTTAAATATGAATGTGTGGTACAACACACATCTAATTCATGCCATGACAAAAACGTTATTCGACCACTTATAACTGAACAATGGAAAGAACCAACTTACCGAATTCTCTCGCTAGGTATGTTGCAATGGCCACGGACTGTCCATACGATTTGCTAGCTACTTCCAGGTATGGCGCCTGACCGAACGGTGCAACTGCAGTGTCATAGAAGTAGAGACAGTTTAGTTTTAGTTTTAGTAGAGGTTTTACGGCGCTCGCAACGGTATAAGGTCATATGAGTGCCAGAGAATTAGAGGTGTTACAAGAGAGTAACAAACATAAAAAAGAAGAAGAGGAGATAAGGACGATATATTATTATGTTAGATAGGAAAGAAGAAGCAAACCACACCAGAGCACCCGAAGTAGAGTACTTAGCCATAATGTTTCAAAGACGAAGAGACATACTTGGCTATCTAATGTTTTATAGAGGTAGCCATACAGTTGCACAGACGAAGAGACATTCATGCAATCTTTCATACAAGTAGAGACATACCTGGTTATCTAATGTTTCATAGAAGTAGAGACATACTTGTTCATTTTATTCTTTCATAATCTAGAGCAATGTTGACCTGACTCACACTGAGTCCGGTCCATCACACCCGGTGACTGACTATACGACAGTTTGGTTAGGTCCCTCTCTTGTAGAATATATTATACAGTGTTGTCTTTAGTTTTAATCTTAGCCGTTCCTAAAGATACTTTCGAGGCGCAACTTTGTGCAGTTTTATTAAACCAATTAGACAAAAAAGGCAAAATTTTAATGTAGTTACTGTTCGAATATTATTCAAAATTCTCCCACCCTTCTCAACGTTTTCTACAATGATGATGATGATGATGATGATGATGATGATGATGATGATGATGATGATGATGACTTTGAAAAGAATATCAATGGAGACGAAAATGAAAACAAAAAAATTGTGATAAAAGGGAAGACCCAAAAAAGAACGATCCTGATTTCGTAAAATTGGAGTTGGTTGTTTGTCACTTCGTTTATGGTCCTTTTTCACCCAAACAGTAGGGTAAAGAAGAAGAAGAAATAGAGAAAAACAAGCAATAATGCGACAAAGAAAACACCAACAGCTACAAGGGCAATATAATGAAAACTGCAACAATGTCGGCAATAATGACAACAACTTTCACAGGAACAACAACAAAAAACAAAACAACAGCCTCACCAAAAACAACAACAACAACAACAAAAACAACGGTAGCAACAACTGCCTCGCAAAAAAAACCCCACAACAACAATGGCAATAAAATCAATGTCAACAGACAACTCCTCTTTAAATGTCTACAATAAAACACAATTTAATTCGATTGAATTTGACATAATTTAATATAATTTAATGATACAGCATTACGTTTTTTGTATTTGGGCCACTCTTGGTGAGTAAAACGGACGTCCTCAAAGGGTACTTCTGCTGCAGCAAAGACCAGTCTGATGAACTCCGCTCGGCCCATGCCATCAAAATACATAAGTTTATACGAATGGGTTGCCATACTCGCTGTCTTCCGCTCTCGGAATGTCTGCACTGTGCACAGCTGCTGCAAATAACAATAATACCCAATAAAACAATAATGGCGTTTAATCCGGGTGCGACCAGATCTGCTGCTTATCCACCTGTTTTCTAAGTAATCGAAGTACTGTTAGGGATTTAAAACATGCATCAAACAAAACGTAACCCAGATGGCTGTAGTGAGGAAAACCTTTCAATTTAGCTGCGAATAGGAAAGCATGCAGCTTAAGAATTAAAACTGCAAAGCTGTTTTAAGAAAAGTAATAAATGTTGTCGCTTTCTTATTGAGGAAATAGTTTATAGGCCTACTGTCGTCGTTGTTGTGTTGTCCTTGAGGGAGTTTGGTAGAGGTTTATCTTGGAAAAACCATCAATACTAGGCTTGACTGTCATCCCCTAGCTGCTCTGATCTTGTGCATACAAAAATAAATAAAATAATGTTCCTTTTTAAAGGAAATTAAGAAGTTTTCTTGTTGATAATAAGATTATTTTCCCTTTTTACAAATTCTATGATCAAAAGCGTGTTACTATTTTGTTTTTTCTGCTTGGGTGAAACTGTATGGCGAAAGACAGAATAATAATAATTGACAGAACCATTAAAAAAACTCAGCAAGATCTTTAGGTATCATTTTTCTAGAATTGATGAAATGTATGAGATTACAAGTAAAAAAAAGATAGACAATATTATAAACAACCCACCACACCCTCTTTCCACACAAATTGTAAGATCACGCAATGGCAGATACATACCACTCAGAACAAAGAAAGAAAGATACAAGAGAAGTTTCATACCATCTCGTATAAGGCTACTGTTAGAATATATATATAAATATATATATTTACTGTTCCCAATACATTACCTATATAAATCTAAAGGTCTTACGATGAATTCATACATGTGGTTGAATGATGCATCTAATGTGATGTGTACGTTATTGTCAGTTTTACCTTTCTTTTCATATTGAATTTTAATTAGATTATATAATATAACATAATTTCTAAGTATGCCATCATTTGTTTTTATTGTCCTGTACAGCCAAGAAAAATTTCTTTCAGGGACAATTACGTATTTTCTGATGTTGATGTTATCTTATCTTATCTTATCTTATTTTATTTTATCTTATCTTATCTTTCAGTCGTTAGTTAAATTTTGAAAAGTCTTTAATTTTACAGTCTGATTCCTGCCTCTTTTTATAGACTCAACAGAGTCAGAAATGTTACTTCCATGTTCAAAAGATCGTTGTGAAAAGACTTCATTCTTAATCGTCAGACAAAATAAAACCAAGAGCCGTATGTCTGAGATCTCTTGCGTATGCACTACACACAACAAGCCAAGTACACAATTAGCTTTTGTGTAAATCTAAGATAATAATAATATTATGTGTCACGACACGGTGGAATCAGGCGCTCGTCAATTTTTGGGCATGTGAAGTAATACGTATCTTCTTAAAGCTTGTTCATTTGTCTATCTTTCGATGGAACAAGTGCCCATCTAATTGCCCAGGTAAAATTAGCTAGAAAATGGCAGCTAAAGTTTGATGACTTCCAAAGCTTGAGAGTCCTTGGAAACTGAAAATTTACTTTGTTGTGCCTATAAACAACATTTTTCAGAAAATTCAACACAGATATGTGCTTTTAAATGGAGATAGCAGGTATTGAGCCAAAACACAAAAATTTGATCAAAATTGCCAAACCGTCGGTAAAATGCCAATATCTTCAATTTCTTTTTTTTGAACAGCGCCTGACTTGACCACGATGTCTCACAAATCCGTTCGAAAATCAAAACAAAACGAACAAGAAAAAAGAATTCTAAACTATCAACTTCAGTAAAAGATTACTTACTTCAGCCTCTCGGGGTTGAGACGTTCAGTCTGTCTCAGTTACCTGTAATATTCAAAGTCACACTGATTGTTGACCTCTTACAAAACTACGAGCCCTACGTTTTCCTGGCATGGAAAACGTAATTTATGCCCAGTCACTAAACAGACTGTTTAATGAAACTGTTCTTTGGTGAAAATGTAAACTATTAGATCTATGTATAACTTTCAAAGTTTCAAGGTATTGTGTGCGGTATGCAAACTACTCACTTTAGCTGAAGTCAAATAATTAATTTCAGAGTTATGACAATTCTAAACGTATGAACCGAAAAAGTAACACAATAACGGTCGTACTTGATTTCGAAGTTCAATGAAACAGCACCGACAAGACAAAACGGCATGCAGCTCCAGTTAGCGCAAAGCCTGCTAGATAAAAGAGCTCTGCTCTTGTCATTGATATACGGATCTCTGCACAAGGTCTCTCTCTCTCTCTCTCTCTCTCTCTCTCTCTCTCTCTCTCTCTCTCTCTCTCTCTCTCCCTATGTCTGTCCCCTCTCCCTACTCTCTCTCTCTCCGTCTATCTCTTTCTCTTTCACTTTCTCCCTCTGCCTCTCTCTTTGTGTATGCATAAATACATGCATAATGTATTCTGTATGCATGTGTGTATTAGCACCATGGTAATAATCAATTTCTCAGCCACCAAGTATGAATAGTTCTACCATGATGAGACCAGGAATTTCTACATTAGCCAAACCTTTACGGTGAGTTTTGAACAGGAGGACAAAGAGCTAGGGTTTTAAAACAGCAAAACAGTTCTAAGAAAAACGTATTACATGTATTATAGTTGTTACCTCCTTACAGAGGGAGGCCTGTATAGAGGTGTTGCGATTGGTTTCTTTTTCTCTGTTCTGATCTATCTATCTATCTATCTATCTATCTATCTATCTATCTATCTATCTATCTATCTGTCTATCTATCTATCTATCTGTCTACCTATTTATCTAACTATCTATCTATCTAGCTGTCTGTCTGTCTATCTGTCTGTCTATCTATCTACCTACGAAATATTGCGTTTTCGTAATCCTACAGTTTTTGCCCTCAGTGTCGCAATAACCATTAATGATTTGTCTTATATTGTCCAAAAACTATATTTCAATAAACAATAATTAAATCTTATTAGGCCCCACATTCTTCCCGTAACAGACATCCACAATTCAAGTAGGTCGCCATGTGGATTCCAGTCAGGGCCATTTAAAAGTCCAGAGCGACAGGATCCACGTTCTTTAGGGCCTCGGGCAACTTTTCATTATTTCCTCCGGTCCGGCTTGAGCATCTCTGCGATATCGTTTCACTTGATACTTTTGTCTATCTATCTATCTATCTATCTATCTATCTATCTATCTATCTATCTATCTATCTATCTATCTATCTATCTATCTATCTATCTATCTATTTATCTATCTATCTATCTATCTATCTTGATCACACACACACGCACACACACACACACGCACACACACACACACACACACACACACACACACACACACACACACACACTCATACTCACACACGAACAGGCATACAAATAAGTGCGCTCAAGTAGTTAATTAAAATTTGATGTTTTAGTATAGTCGCAGTGTTTCTAATAATAATATTGTCGTTGTCAAACTGTTCAAATGTACAAAACCTTTTAGGAGAGGGGGAAAACTGTTTCATTTTTTAAAATAAGTGTACACCTCTTATGTACTTTCTTTGCTTTTCCTAACATTTCGAAAGTACACAAAATTTTAGTACAGAAACATTGCGTGAATTTTGTTGATAGGGGCGTAAAAAATCTAGACTTAAAATGATCAAAATGAAAAATAGAACTAGAATGGATGATAAGATAATTGCTTACTCAAAGCGACACACGTGCGACAGTTAGGTGCATTGTGTATCAGTTTATCAATTTCATTTTTTTTTTCGAAGAAAAGTTTCAAGATGCAACCAATTAATGTATTACGTACGGAACTATAATATTTCTTATATATTTAATCACACGAAAGTATTATTTAAAATGTAGATGCTTTTCACGTCACCATCGACACAATTTAGGTTATTTAGTAAGAAGATTTTTCAGGGCCAACTTGGACAGAGAGGGACACAGCGTCCCAGGTAAAAGCCTGAGATACTCGATAAAAGTTCTCCTCACTCGAGAATCAAACCCACATTTACTGCGTTCGATACGCAGTGTGTAACCACTACACCACAGACGCCAGTCAGACATCAGATGGCAGTGCGGGGACCAAGGTAGGGAATGTCTGTAGAAAGAGTCAGTGGGTGGTTGGCGGGTGCTCTTGTGTGGTTTGCTCCTTCTTCCCCCCCAAAAAAAAACAAACAACAATCTATCTTCCGTATCTCCCCTTTTTCTGTTTTGTGTTTGGTACTAAACTCTCTAATAATAATAATAATATCTCAAATCTGTGACATTTATATGACCTTATTGTTTTGCAGGTGCTGTTGAACTCTTGCTAAAAATAAACACAAAGAGTCGCTGAATGCATTGTTCAGTCACATAAGCGGAGTTCAGATTAACATTAGTGACTCAACCGTTCGGAATTGTGGGGGGTGGGGGGTGGGGGGTGGAGAGGGAGAAGACTGTTCCAACATCAGATAAGGAGTGCGACATCCACTGTTCTGTAACTCGCTCTAAAACATAGCACACACTGCCAAATTCATTCCATTGAGTTAGGCAGATTTTCTTCCCTGAAGAGATAAAAGCTACCATTTAGACCCTAACGACTGATGAGCCCCGCGACAATGAAACACAACCGTGTGAGATTTTAAAGGTCATAGTCGAATTCAATTGAATATGGTCGTATTGTGCCAAAATAATGAGTAATAAAAAAAATTTGTATAGCATTTGTATAGCACAAATCCCCGCTCGACAGCAAATTCTATGCGCCTTACACTATGCCAATACCCCAGCAGACCATAGAACACTCAGAAACATTTTCAGCTTTCCCGGAAGGTACAGTGCAAGCAGTTGATTAAGCGCTCAAACACTAACAATCTGACAAGATCTGTCACTGTCTGAAGCTGGGTACCCATTCCCAACTGGGTGAAGTGAGGATAATTCGCGTAAAGTGCCTAACCCACAAACACAACGTCGGGCCCCTGACCGAATTCGAAGTCACGACCGTACGGTTGCGAGTCTGAGAGCC